TTTTTTTTTTTGTCTTTTTCATGACTGGTAAGGGGATCGCAACCCTCGGCTTGGTGTCGCCCGCACCACGCTCAGCCAGTGAGCGCACTGGCCAGTCCTATATAGGATCCGAACCCGCGGAGGGAGCGTCGCTGTGCTTCCAGCACTGCACTCTCCTGAGTGCGCCATGGGGCCAGCCCATAAATATAAGTTTTGAATCTGGTTATAGTACAGTGACCAGAAGAAAGGTACTCTGTGTTTATATAGTATAATCTCTGTGTTTCCTCCTCTCTTCTTTATTAATGATGAAATTAGAAAAAGTAATCACTCCCCCATAGCTTTGTCATTTACACAGCCTGATTTTCCTTTTTAATCCTTTAAGAGACTAGGTTATCTTTAATTCAAAGCACATCTGAAAAAGTAGCAGCATTTTGCAATTTTATGAAATCTTTTTCTTATACCTCATTTCCAAAGCATTTTCAACTTTTAAGATTAACTCTATCTTCAGCCTTTTAACATTCTCACTATATAATTGTGTTTATATGTGTGTGCATGTCTACAATATAAGAAATTTTAGATTGTAATTTCTTAAAATATACATTGGTATAGCATAATTTTTCCCTGTCTAAATCTTGGCATGAAATCTATTATTTTATTTATTTCATAATTAATTAATTTTCAACAAACATTTATTTATACATACTTTTCACATAGCACTGTGCTGACAATCTAATTAAGAGAAAAAAATGGTTCCTCTTCATATGAAGCTTACAGTCATGAAACCCTTATCTAACACCCTTTCCTTATCTTACACTGTGCCTAATACCTAACCAAACAAAGGAGGAAAAAGAAACAACCATCTATCTTAAGTTATATTTGGTCTCATCTTCTTACATCAGGAGCCCCTTGTGCTTCGAGAATGAAAGAGATGCTAATATTATGGCTCCTAAGAGAGCTGTGCAGCCCCCACCCATGTTATCTCTAAGTAAGCCTCATAGCCAAATGAGACACTACTGAGAGAACAATTGTACTAATCTTGGGTATCGACATTTGATCATTGTCTTTTCAGTTTTTATTTTTTGTCCTCTGAGAGTCTGTCATTGTGGATTATATAAAATATTTGTTAGTTGTTCAGATGATCTCATCTATAAGAAATTTCCAATTCTGAGTCATCTTATAACCTAAATTTTATTGCTGTAACAAAATTATGGTCAAAATAAGATTATCTATTTGATGACTTTATTATCTGCAATAACATATGATTCTTTCCATATGAGTCTTATTTGTACTTTTTATTTTTCCTAAGAGATATAAAGATCGAGGTAGAGAGAAGTAAAAGTAATCCATTAGGATTGAACAGTATTTGGTGGGCAGTTCATACTATCTTATGTGTGTATGTCCATGAGAGAAAGAGTAATTATCAGAGTGTTAAAGAACCTCGTCTCTTCAGAAAGATCTAAAATTCTGAAAGAAGTTTTAAAATATGAGTGTTTTGGGATCTTCACATGCTTATTTTATGTTATGTACACATATATACTCAGTATAATTGTTTAAAAGTAGATCTCAGTTTGTGAAGAAATCAGAAACACAGGCAAGAAAATGTTTTTTACATAAACATTACGTAAATACATATGTTTGTGTGTATACATATATATACATATGTATAGTGTTAAACATAATGTATGCAATTTCAACTTTCCCCTTTAAAAATAATATGTAAAGCATGAAGAAAATCAAATCTTCAAAAACTAAAATATTTGATGACAGGGGAGAAAGCTGCCAGAATAGGCAAAATGCTCAAATCATTACTCCAGCTCTAAGAGAGTAATAAATATAAATCTGCAATACTAGAATCCAAAAATATAAACCTATATCTGACAATTATAAACAAGATTAAAATCAGCTTATCTGGAAACTGAACAGCTCTTGATTATATTTCTCAGTGATAGTAAAGATCAAATACACACTATCCTTGAGTCCAAAATTACAAGTATTAGTAATGATTCTTCCATCTCGTTTCTTGTTTGACCAAATGTATTACAACAGAGAATCAACTAACCACCCAACACCTGTGCTTGCTTGGCTCGAAAACCATTAGATATGAGTTTCAGGACCACGGACAGCTCTTTCTATGCACTTCCTCCTGGGTTTGCAGAATCGTTACATGTTTCGCTGAGATAGATAGGGTTAAAGGAAAGTCAGCAGCCTGGAGGAGCAATTGTTTTCTCAACTTAGGTGAGACAGGCTGGCTCAGTGGGAAAAATAACCTTTGGAATAAGACAGATGAGTCTAATTTGTGTAACCCTCGATATTTGACATCATATTACATAAGATGTTATGAGCTTAAGATGAGTTCTGGCTATACAAACTCCTGGTGCAGCACGTGACACATTTTAGATGAGTAAGAACTAAATAGCACTGTACTTTATATGCTCGGTTTTCAAATTTCAGATCAACTTTTCTAAAAATTTTATTTTTTAAAAAATTGCCATTAGAATTGTATGCATTTGTTGTATACAACACAATGTTTTGAAGTGTATATATTCTTAGAGAATGGTTAAATCCACCTAATTAACAAATGCATTTACTCCTTTTTGTGGTGAGAACACTTAATATCCACTCTCCAGGAGAAGGAAGTACAAAGGTGGTTATCTGAGGCTAGGGTGGATAAAGAGGAGGAGGAGTTGGGGAGATGTTGGTCATAGGGTACACAATTACAGTTATATAGGAGAAATAAGTTCAAAATATCTGTTGCACAGCATGGCTATAGTTAATGATAATATATTGTACTCTTGAAAAATGCTACGAGAGTGGATACTAAGTGTTTTCAATTAAGTGTTGATCTTTTTATTGTTTAAACTGAAACAAAATGTGAGATACATTTAGCTTCATTTTACTTCTTCATTTAGATACTTTACCTGTTTCTGGCATTGGTGAGCTCATTTAGTTCATACAAGGCTGCACCAGCTGAAGAGAACAGTGAGGCAGAAAATCCCCAGCTTGCAATGGCAAAGATTAAGAAAGGAATAAACTATGTGCTTCGTAAAATATTATCCGTAAAAAAACAAAGTATTTCAAAGGAGACAATGGACCATGTAAATAATATGTATGTAAAAGAGAATGTCTCTGACCACACCCTTTCTGAATTGAGCAACACCCAAGATTTCCTCAAGGATAAGGAAAAAAGCAGTGGCACAGAGAAAAACACAACTGAAAATGAGAACCAATCACTTATTCCCAGTCCTAGTGTCTCAGAAACTGTACCAATTGCTTCAGGAGAATCTGATATAGAAAATCTGGATAATAAGGAGATCCAGAGCAAGTCAGGTGATGGAAGCAGCAAAGAGGTAAGTTTTATTTTTTACGTCCTGATTGATTATTGTTGATTTATGGTATTGTCGATAGGGAAGTAAATCAGTACTGAAGTTCCATAGTCAGATTACCCATTTGATGGAGCTCCACCACTCCTAGCTCCTGATTTTATGCTCCTGATCAAATTATTTAAGCTTTCTAAACTTCAGTTTTCTCATATGTAAATGAGGATAAAATTGTACTTATTTCTTCAGGAGGATAGGAGGATTAAGAAAAATAGTTCAATAGCATATAGAATAATCCCTAGTATAGAGTAAAGACTTATAAAACAGATGATATAATTATAAAATTTTATAAATTAGCAAGCAGGGAGTTTGGGGTGATAAAAACCATACTGATGAAACCTAAGTGTTTAAAATTAATGTGTATTACTGCAGAAATCACTAAACTTCCCTGGGCTTGATCATCTTTAAAACATGAGATAGGATTAGAAGAGTGCTAATATTCTTTGTTGCTTGCTAAAATTCTAAGATTTTAGCCAGTTCATTTCTGTAACAAATGTTGTAACATATATAATTAAGCTGGACTAAAAAAATAAAGAAATCCACTAGTTTGAATTGTGAAAAGTTGGTAGTTTTATGAAATCCTGACTTAAAAAAAGTCAGGGTCTCATTGAAAGGAGAGTAGATATTATTGTTCACTTAGTTTCTAAAATGTACACCTCATTGGAAACAGTCTTATTGCTTCCTTTTGCAGTAGCATAATGTGTTAGTAGGAGGTGTACCATAATAGTAAGCTACACCTACAGTGATCACATATGCACTATGGGCTTCTTATTTTGGACTCCACTGGAGAAACATCTCAGATCACTCAAAGGCACTGGGCAGGAGTAGGAAATGTCTCTTTCCTGGTCCCCAATGTCTCTGGCACCAACTTGTTTACCAGACCTGTTCTGGTTTGGCGGGTACTCTCTGCCATAACTTCTCAAATTGGTCTTCTAACAGGAGTTCGGTTTCAATTATTCAGTGTCCTTCCAACACCTACCAAAGGCATTGTTGCTTTAGTTAGAAAAACATTTTCCACTACTTAGCACGCTCAATAGTCTCAGGTTCATTTACCTTTAATTAATATCATTACTAGAAAACAGAAAAATTCCTACCCAGCACACTTATCTATCTTCATTAAAAACTGTGGATACCATCCATTTCTAAGTAAAATGGCTATCTACCACAGCACGTCATATCAGAGTGTTCCATTAAAAAGCATGGAGTATGAAAATACACAGGAAAGATGTAACTTAAAATAACTGTAAATGTTGAAGTTGCAGAATTTGTCATTTATGCTGAATAATTATTTGATCCTGTTGATTGGTGAACTACTCACAGAAAATGTATTCATTAATTTATATATTTTGTTATATATTTATTAATCAGACACTTTCTACTTTATGTAGCTTATTGGTATTTAGAATGTCAATCTACCAAAAGCCATAAAATAAAACATAAAAATTACATATCATCTGATAACTCAGAGGTACAATACTCCTGTTTCTTTGGTGTTTGCACTTTCAGCCTTTCTTAAATTACAAATATGCATACATGAAGTATCTTCAAAAAGGTTATGGAAAGATTTGTGTTATCTTTTAAATGTATTTTTCAAAAGGTTTTTGAAGTTCCTTTGTATTATAAAAGTAACATCAAATTTTGCATCAGGTTTTGTAACTTGTTTTTTTATCATGTAGTAATACATCATGATCACTTTCTCATGCCATTAAATAATCTTATACCAAAATAAATGATTTACAATATCAAATCTTGATGTATTTGCAAAGTTATAACAATACCTACTCAGAGGTTTTTGAAAAAAAAATTATATCAAATAGGTTATGTGCAAGGGTTTTCAAAATGTTTTAAAATATAAAGGTAAAGTGTATAATTTCAGTTATTGAGTACCTAAATATTACATTCATTTACTTATTGCATACTCTCAAATTTAGAAATAAAAAATATATAAAGAGAATTGAAACAAAAAGATGTGTTTATTTAAGAGGAATATTCTGCTGGATACTTTATTTTTTTAAAATTGAGTACCATGGGGCCGGCCCGGTGGCGCACTGCTACAGTGCGCCGCTTGGGAGCGCGGCGGCGCTCCTACCGAGGGTTCGGATCCCACATACAGACCGGTTCCAGCTCACTGGCTGAGCGAGGTGCAGGCGCGGCACCGAGGGTTGCCATCCCGATGCCGGTCCCAGTCCGGTACGGGCGCGACACTGAGGGTTGCGATCCATTGCCGGACACGAAAAAAGACAAAAAGGAAAAAAAAAAAATTGAGCACCACGATGACTTACTGACAATTGACCATGTAAGGACTAAGGCAAACAAGCTTTCTAACTATATTTCCTTGACAATTATCATGCATAAGACCAAGAGGTAGAACAAAATATTTATAACATTTTTTTGCACTCTATCTAGATAGATTTTTTCTCAATTTTTAAGAAATAAGACTGATTTTATTCCAAATGTTTTAATACACTTATCTTGATTTTGTTTTAATTGGAAAATATTACCTATATGCTACTAACTGTACGGTCTTGGTGACTTTAAAAAATGACATGCTGTATATACATTTCTGAATAAGGTAAAATAAAGCATTGTGAGAAAATAATTTTAAGTAAAGAGAGAGTATGTCATTTGCATTATTACCACATGTACAAAGCCATGAACCTGTCCAGACAACCTTGAACATCAGTCAAGAGCAGAGTAGGAAAGAAGGTCAATCTCTGAATCCAGGATCTTTCCATAGGGCTTGTGCAACTTTCCCAGGTCTGTCCTTGGGGTTCCTTGTGCCTTTCCCTAATTTTACTATATGATAACCTCACATCAATCCTGTCCTATGATGACATACACAAGAAAGTCTGGACTGGATTTCACAATAAAAACTAAGTGCACTATTATCTACCCACCTGTGGCATTAAGGGATGATTTATTTTGATGCTACTCATTTCATGGAAATAGAATATATGGGAAACTTGTGAGTAACTTCAGGAAAACTTTGGAACCCAAATTCTTTTGTAAATTGGAGGTAGCCTATACATCTTTTAGAAACAAAGTGTTATCAACTAAATGTTAATTTTAATCTAAAAGTTATTTTTGCTTAAATTAAGTATTTTTAAATAATTTCTTAAAAACTTTAACTCATACCAATATGAAAGCAGTTTAATATCAATCATGAAATTGGCCTAAACTCCTTTAAGCCTCATAATATTCTTTCTGTATACAATTGTTCTCACTTCTAAAAATAAAATAAACTTTAGCTACAGTGAATAGAGGAAACTTTAATCACACATTTTTGTTGGGATTTTACTTTTTAGAAGATAAAGCAGTCTAGCTCATCTGAATGCAGCACAGTTGATATTGCTATCTCTGATGAAGAAGAAATGGTCTATGAACATGAAAAGCCAAGACATCTTAAAAACAGTAAGAAAAAAAGTTTCTTTAGTAAATTTATTGAGATTAGACTAAATTTCTGTTACTCTAATCAATATTATTGATTTTACTTTTAATTTGGAAGAGTTTATTAATTTGGCTAAGGGATACATACACAAATATGTGAGTTCATATGCACATGCACCCACCTTTATTCTAATAGACATTTATAGTAAATGTCAAGAAAAAAGTCAACACTGGGAAAAGAAGGAAAGGGCCTATTTTCTAGAGAGTCTGATGCAGTAGATAAGAGAGTTGACTCTGGAAACAGACAGCCTGAGTTCAAATCCCAGTCCACCATTTACTTATCCTCTCTGATTCAGTTTCCTGATCTGTAAAATGAGGATAAGAAGACTTACCTAGTGGTACTGTTAAACAAGTTTGTGTATGTTTGTATGTTTATATGTGCACACGTGTGTGTATAATCCTAGAAGAGAAAGAAGCTGGCCAGAAAAAAAAAAACAACAGTTAATAATACCATCGATATCATCATACTTTAACTTTATTAACTCAGCTTACAGAGATATAGATTGATATAGTTAATGCAGACGATAACTATGAGTAGTGTGGTGTAAGTGGTATATTATTGATAATGTATTTAATGATATTATTAAATAAATAATAAATAAAATATTTAATGATATGTTTTTATACTATAGGTAATATTGGGTAAAAATATATAACATCCACAGTTTTATATTGATAACTACGTAACTGTGTACATTATAATAGAGCATGATTTAGGAGGAAAACAGAAAATCAGTATACTTAAAGCAGCACTGGAAAAAATATGCATATATATGTTGAAGTGAAATGAAGCATTTTTAGAACTCATGGAATGGGATTGGTAATTAAAATACATATATGAAAGCATCTTATAAATTTCATAGGAAAACAAATTGTGATAGTGATATTTATATGTTTCACATGAATATTAAGACATGTATAAGGCTTCAGTTTTCTGACACACTAGATATTTAACACACACCTCTTGATGACATAATTTAAATTAGTTTCCTAGTAAGATTAACAAATTTCTACAGGTTTGGACATTTGAAATCATTCGAAAGTCATCAAAATGGTAATTGTTAAATGCTCAAATTCCTGTCTTCAAAATAAGAATCTGTTCTCAGTAGCTTGAGTTGTAGGACTTGTATCACCTAAAACAAGGGAGGAAACATGTTCTTCATTTTTTTTTTTACCAGAGACGTAAAATTTGACACTAGGAAAAATTCTAAAGTGAAATGTTTTGACTTCAAACTCCATCCACCATTTCTTGATTTTCTTACCTGTTAAACACTATTTTCTCCAGCCTCAAGTTTTTCTTTTGCTAACTTTCTTGACCAGAAGGTGGAGTTCAGCCCCATATATGTGTTCTCTTCCTACAAAGTGCTCCAGAATTCAGGTGACCTCCTTAAATAGTCTCAATCAAAACTTCCATTTCCATGACACCTAAGAACTGCAATCAAAGCATTGTGTTGATTTAACTAATACGAGGGTACTTCAGAAAGTTCATGGTAACATTCATATTATGTTTCAATTCTATTTTTCCTTGAACTTTTTGAGGTACCCTAGTATTATGATTTTTAACATCTGATAAGTATTTATGTTTTTCAAATGGAAATGCTTGTTATGCTATGTGAATCTTCAGAAGGTGAATATTCAGGCATTATGCAAAAATGTAACATTTAGGAGATGGGGTGTGGGTGTGTTAGTATTTTTTTGTGTGGGTGAGGGATACATTCTATCTCAGACTGCTCTGCAGGGTGAGGTGATATTCTGTTATCCCTGCCTTTCACATCTTTCTTCCAACTCTTAACAATCTCACAAATCCAGTTTTTCTTTTTCTTCTGAGTGATTGCACTGGTCACTACAGCAGAGGTAAAAATCCAATGTTTGTATATCAGAGACCACCTATATTAGAATCTGTGAATAAATAATTACTAAAGCATATGGCAGAAAGTTCAAGATGTTTACTTTTTCATGCACTTTTTAGATTTTTGTGCTTAACAGTTTTATTCTTGACAGGTTATGGACGGAGATCTTCACCTGGTCAAATCAGTAGAGACTCCAAGAGAGGAAAAATTTGGCAGAACATAAGGAAAACCTGCTGCAAGATAGTTGAGAACAGTTGGTTTAAGTGTTTTATTGGCCTTGTCACTCTGCTCAGCACAGGTGCTCTGGTAAGTGAGCAGCCCGGAATGTGTGATACTTTTATCCTTTTTCTGTTAATTCAGAGAGTTACTTTTCCCAGAATACTTAGTATGGAACCAAATTTATATTCTGTGATTTTAGTTTTAGAAATTAAATGTTACACGTTTTTAGAAAGTCTACATATGCATCATTCAATATTAAATTTAATATTGATATTAAACATATATCAATAGTAAATAAGTAATAGATTTCAAAATACATGAGTTACAGTAAGAAAAGTGAATGTGAACAGATAACTGATTTTTCTGGTTTTAACGAAGTTTCATTTATAAAACAGCTTAATAATTTGGACATCCAAAACTGCTATATTATGTTTGCACTATGGTCATCCACCAATCCTACAAAAAAAAGTACACACCACACAACATATTCTAAATGTTACATTTTGGTATATAATGGGTAAATGTTTAAATACATTCATCTGGGCCGGCCCGGTGGCGCACTGCTACAGTGCGCCGCTTGAGAGCACGGCGGCACTCCTGCTGAGGGTTCGGATTCCACATACAGACCGGCCGCTCACTGGCTGAGCGAGGTGCGGGCGCAACACCGAGGGTTGCGATCCCGTTGCTGGTCCCGGTCCGGTACGGGCGTGACACTGAGGGTTGCAATCCGTTGCCGGTCATGAAAAAAGACAAAAAGGAAAAAATAAATAAATAAATAAATACATTCATCCAATGGAATACTGTGCAGCTATTTTAAAAATACAGAAGTAAAAAAGAAAGGTCTAGAATAAATTAGATGGTATGCTGTATTTTATGTAGGAACGGAAGAAAAATAGAATGTATACTGATATTTGTATTTGATTAAAGAAGATCAGAGAATGCACCTGTGTAGCTGTGACTTGGATTGAGAAACAGAACATGACCAGGACTCCAGACCCACACTCCTACCCCTCACTATTACTTCCCCACTCATGATGGGTGACCAGCATGTGGACTTCAACCGTCATAGATTAGTTTCACCCATTTTTGAACTTAATTTTTTAAAAAAGATTCAAACAGAATATACTTTTCTATTTCTTCCTCCTCCAATTTTGTTGCAGCATCCCACTCCCTCATGATAATCAGGGTCAATTATCTCTGCTAATCTAACTCCATTCTTTTGTCACTAGTCTGCTAGCACAAGAAGCCAAAATTGACAAGATGGTATTTTAGCTTTGATTTTAGCAGGAGACATATTATGTCCCCTAGTGCCCTATTTGGGGGTCAAAGACCTCTGAATATACCTATCCTAAGGTGAGGAAATGGGAAGCAGAAATACCCACAAGTGGGCTTGCCAGGTGCTTCACACTGCATCTTTCTCCATCACAGATTCTTCCAGTATCTTGGTATCTTCATTCGGCTTAAATGGAAAGGCTGCTTGAAATATAGCCAATCTATTTTAGAATCTTTTCTTGCATCAGATCTTACAGAAAACAGCTATCTTCTGCATCATCTGATAACAGGATGAATCAATATCCCCAAGTGTGAAATTTAACCCTCAGAACCTAAAGAGGTCAATGAAGCATTGTCTTTCTTTCTTAGGGTAGGAGGTGCATGTGTCTCTCCAACGCATACAGAAAACCTACCATGTCTTGTTCATCGAGTCTGAAGAACATGAGATCAGTATAATGGATCAATATGATGTTAACTCCTATGTTACTGGAAAGCGCCCCCATGTCAACATGTTCTCCCTTTTCTCTAGCTTTATATTCTATCCCCTTTGATTCAGCCTATGGTGAGCTGATTAATGGTCCCCAAATATGTTCGTATCATAATCCCCAGAAATTTTGAATGTTAATTTACATGGCAAAAGGGTCTTTGAAGATGTGATTAAGACACATATTTAGATGGGGAGATTATCCTGGATTATCAAGTTGGAACTGATGTAATCACAGTGTTCCTTACAAAAGAGATGCAGGAGGAGATGGAGTCAGAAGAAAAGGTCATGTGAGGATGGAAAAGGTCATGAGAGATTGGAATGACAGGCTTTGGAAATGGAGGAAGACGCCACAGGCTAAATAGTGGAGCCACTAGAAGCTGGTAAAGAAAGGAAATGGATTCTCTGCTCAAAGCCTCCAAAAGGACCAGCCCTCCTGGTACCTTGATTTTAGCCCAGTGAAACTGATTTCAGATTTCTGACCTCAAGAATAATGAGTATGTATCTGTGTTGTTTTAAGCCACTAAATTTGTGGTAATCTGTTGCAGCAGCAATAGGAATCTAATACACAGCCCCTGCAGCAGCCACTTCCAGGAGTACACTCCTGTTCCCTGCTAGTATGTTGTTACTGTGTCCTGAATATGTACCAGATCCTTTGGCACACAATCCTTCTCCTTGCTTAGCAATTTCAGTACATCCCTAGCCACTTTATGAAGAGATTTGACTCTATGTATACATCTGGTGGCCAAGAGAGGATGTGGATGTAGATCTTAAAGAGAGCTTGTTCAAGATACCTCCTTCATTTAAGGCCCCTTCATGGTTCTGTTAGGGAAGTTCTGGAGTCCGAACTATACCACAGAGTCCCACTTTGAGTGAAGTATGAGAGCTGGCATTTTTACTTCTGTGCCATTCAGCCATTGACTGAGGTGTTTCCCTCTAGGAGTGGAAGCATTGCCTCTTGTGTGAGGTGGCTCCTGTTTGGTAGAGTCAATTCTCCAGAGGGCTTCAGCTGTGCTTTATTAAGCAATACTCCTAGTCACTATGAAACAGGTAGATTTGCCAGTAAAGAGGCTCTTAGTAGGCAACTCCAGAACCCACTGCAATGTCCAATATGTACTTGAAAAGTACATGTCATAGGATGTTTTGGGGTGCATTTTTGTCATTTGTTATTTCTACTGTTCCCATCTGCTATACCCTTTCTGATACAGTAAAGATTTTTTAAATCTATTATTAGTCATAGAAAGAATGTGTTAAATCATCCCACTATGGCTATTATTTTTTTCTAAATCTCCTTTTAGTTCCATTAATTTTTCTTTACATATTTTGATGATCTGTTATTTTGTGCATACACGTTTATACCTGGGATATTGATCCCTTTATCATTATGAATGTCCCTTTATCTTTAGTAATTTATTTTGTCTAATTTGATATTAGCTTTCTTTTGATTAGAATTTACATGATAAATCTTTGTATCCTGCATATACTCTCAACTTTCTCCTTTCTACAATTATGGCTTGTCTACTTCTCATTGATACAGCAGCTCTGTGATGCTTTAAAAACAGATGCTTTATAAACTTCATACAGCTTTTCTAGTTCTCAGCAGGAACATTGGCCTGGTGGAAATTATCCCACCCATGCTAATTGAAGTGGAGGCTTCTGTACATCTTTTCTTTTTTAAAAAAATTGAATCATATTGCTTGTACATATTTATGGGGTCAGAGTTATATTTCAATACATGCATACAATGCATGGTAGTCATATCAGAGTAGTTAGCAAATCATGGCAAACCTTTATTTTTTTTTTTTTGTGATGAGAACATTTAAGCTCCTCTCTTCTGGCCATTTGTGAACATGCAATAAATTACTGTTAATTATAGATGCCTAACACTATTTGTATACTACTAGAACTTACGTTTCCTATCTAGCTGTAATTTTGTGTCCATTAACCAACCTGTCACTTTCCCTCCTCTCCCACCCCTTCCCAGTCCCTAGTAACTACAGTCCTACTCTACTTCTAAAAGTTCAACTTATTGGTTTATGTCATTTTATTTTTTTAGTTCCCACATATGATGGAAAACATGTGGTATTTATCTTTCTGATTTCACTTAACATAATGCCTTCCAGGCTCATCTGTGTTGCCACAAATGACAGGATTTTATTCTTTTTCTTTACACATTTTCTTTACTGTACATCTTTTTATTATATTTTGCATTATGTACCTATTCAATAAATAAATAAATGTAACAAAATAAAATTATTTAAAATAACCTTAGATGATATTTATAATCTGCTTGATAGATACTTTCACTCCATAATTAATTTGTTCAGTTGAAAGTCAGCAACTCTATTGTTATTTTATATTTACTCTTTTTAACAGTGCATTTTAAGAATCACATCATTCTTTACATGAGATTATTTTAATTATTTTAATCCTTGTTTACCTCTTGTCCTTGATTCACATTAATACTGAAAGTCTTCCTGAGGTTTTTAGTATTTTATTGCCTACTTTCAGTGCTAAAAAAATATGCAATTGCTTTGAATGACATTTTCAGACATCATGTATTTTATCATTAAGGTTGACCTATTAAAACTGAGAAACTTTGAATAAATAATTACTATATAGTTTTATTTCATATTCATGTGTTTCCACTGGTGTACCTGATTATTTCTGCAGCAAGTCAAGTTTTGTGACTTTTCTTGTAACGGATGTATGGATTTCTGAAGACACTTTTTTAAAAAAAAATCTCCATTCTTCTCTGAACAAATGGCATATATCTGTGACTTGGCTACCTGGAATTACAGATAAGATCTATGTCATACATAACTAAAGGTTTTGTCTCTCATGTTAAGTTTAATAAAGTGATTTGAGAGGAGCTTTACAGATCACTTTTTGAAGCAATTATGAAGTCAAGTTCATCCTCTGTAAGAAGTTCTGGGATCAATTAATGATGTCAACTGTAGGCATGTGATCAGAAAATGGTACTTATGGATTATGTCAACAAATATAAGCAGAGCAAACCATCCCTCGACACTACAACCTGCGACAGTGCCCATCATCTGCTTATTAGTGACGGGATTTTATTTTCCTTCTATGTCAAAGAAGTTTTTTGAAATGACATGTACACCTAATCCTTAATTTTTTACCCACAGGCTTTTGAAGATATATATATTGATCAGAAAAAGACTATTAAAATCTTATTAGAATATGCTGACATGATCTTCACTTACATCTTCATTCTGGAAATGCTTCTAAAGTGGATGGCATATGGTTTTAAAGCCTATTTTACTAATGGGTGGTACAAGCTGGACTTCATGGTTGTTACTGTATGTATTTTAAAGTAAAATTTAAAAGGCTATTTTGAAATTTCTTCTTCTTTCTTCTTCGCTTTCTTCTTTTCCCTTACTTTTTAACTTACTCTTTCATTTTCCTTTTCCCTCTCTCTGTATCTTAGCAGTCATCAACATCCCATTTTTCTTCATTTATCACATTTAACATCTATCTTTTTTTTTTCATTCTAAAATTTAGAAAATTGACACTTCACTCCTGGGTTATTGTAATAGTCACCTATGAACCTACTGCTAACAGGATAGGTTTGTTGCACAATATTTTGAAAATTTCAGCTCTCTAAGAATATTTAAATTCTGTTGGCTTGATTTTTAAATCATATATCCACAATGATACATTTATCATACCTTTACTAGTATCATGCTGAGCCATGCTACCAAAATTTCTCATTTGGATGACTAAAGTAGATCCTGAACTGCTTCCACCACTGCACACCTTCATTCTATTCTCCATACAGCAACCAGAGTGACTGTTGCAAAGTGGAAGTCACCTCATGTCACTTCTCTTCTTGGAACCCTCTAATAAACACCCCCATCTCACTCAGAGTAAAAGCTACATTCTTTGCAATCAAAGGCCTACAAGTCTCTACACGATCAGATCTTGTTTCCTACCATTCTCTATCCACTCTCTCCCCATCCACCCCATCTAGGTCCATATACAGCACTGGCTTTCCTGAAGCTCCTCACGCATGCCAAGATTATTTCCATCTTAGTGGCTTGCACTTATTCTATTCCACCTGCAACTTTTGCTGGCATTTATATCTTGGCTGAAATGAAACCTTCAAAGTTAGGACTTCCCTCACTACCCTATTTAAAACAGTGAATACTCCAATATTCCCTTTCCCTTTCTCTGCTTTCTTTATCCCCATAGCCTCTATTAATGTCATACAAATTATTCATTTATTTTGCATATTGTCTGTCTCTTCGCACCAAAAGTAAGTTCCATTAGGGCAGAATTTTTTCTCAGGTTTCTTCTGTCCTTTATCCCCTGGGCCTAGAACAATTCCTGCCACATAGTAGGTGTTATAATTTTTGTTGGATGAACAAATAGTTCCCTATTCTATAAACAATAATGGAAACTCCACAATCTATAATTAATGACTTAAAGTAGCTGACCTCTGTCTTCCAAAGTAATTCTTACAAAATAACCACCTAATCCAGCCAAACCACACTATGCTTGCAACTCACCTTCCTGTTTCCTACCCATTGTTCTCATGTGTCCATATCCCCCCATGCTTGTGTAAATGAAATTCTTACTTCAAAGCCTACTTTAAGACCATCTCTTTAGTATAGGGTAAAAAGAACAAATTTTTCATATACGTTGACTTGAAAATATAGAACATATGGAGATACAATAAAAGTTAATCATCACTTTTCCACCTTGCTCAATACCTATTAACATTTATTAACCTTGAATCATTTTATGGCATACATATTTACTTTAAAATGTCATCTCAGTATCTGCTTATACTTTTTAGTAATTTCTACTTTTAACTTAACAATAGTCTTAACCTTCTTGATGCCTGTCCTCTGAAATCCAATTTTGTCTATCGTCTTAACCATATTTATGCATGGATGTATATGTAAATATATTCCAAATTTTGTTTTAATGATTACATTTCATACTGTTGCTGAATTGCAAATAATCATAAAACTGACTCAATCTAATTTCAAACTAAGAATATAAATACTAATTCTTGATCATAAAGAATGTAAAATATATAATTTTTGCTTATCTTAATAACATATGCACCTTATTACCAGAAAATATTTTTTTTGTCTCATCTTTTTAAGTGATTTTAACACAAAATGATTTTTATAACTTTCTGGAAGTCATTATTAAGATATTTGGAAATATATATTAAAATATTTCACAAATTTATTGGTAAGGTTTGTGTATCATTTTTGTAATAAGTGCAAAGTTCACATGTTATTTTGATTAAAAATGGAAACTTATTCACTTTTTTTTAAATATATAGGTGTTTTGTCTTAGCTTAATAGGCAAAACTCGGGAAGAACTAAAACCACTTACTTCTATTAAGTTCCTTCGGGCACTCAGAGTTCTATCTCAATTTGAAAGAATGAAGGTAAGAGAAAACTTTCTAAACTAATCTGTAAGTTGTTATTTGGGATTACTAAATTTCCACAAAGTAACAAGCTTTGTTATCTTCTCATTTGTACCTTTAACAATATTAATACAACAAAAATCTTATATTCTACTGTTTAAAAATAGAAAGGAATAGGTATGTTAGTTACGTTACTAAGATTTTTAGGTCGTTATTGTTCATAATATATGAAAACTAATTTTAAAAAGCAAAAAGGAACTGATAGTTGAGAAAGAAAATACAGTTCCAAAACTAATATCTTTCTAATTCACATAGATATATATGAATATTAATGAAATTGTTTCAATTTTTAAAATATAACTCTCAGAACATGAAACTTTTGATCAGTTAACTTAGTTTTTAAAATTATAAGAAGATTGTACACACTAGTTATTTAGTGAATGAAAGAAAAGTTTTAATTTTCTTTAAATTTTATTTTATTTTATCAATATACAATGTGGTTGATTTTGGGGGCCCATTACCGAATCTCCCCTTCCCCCCCACCCCCCCTTCCTGCCATCAACCTTATATCTGTTCACTTGTCTTAACAACTTCAAGGAATTGTGATTGTTGTGTCTTCTTCCCTCCTCACTGTTTGTTGTGTATTTATTTATTTATTTTTAGCTCCCACAAATAAGTGAGAATATGTTGTATTTCTCTTTCTGCGCCTGACTTGTTTCACTTACTATAATTTTCTCTAAGTCCATCCATGTTGCTGTGAATAGTAGTATTTCATTCTTTTTTATAGCAGAGGAGTATTCCATTGTGTAGATATACCACAGTTTCCTTATCCACTCATCTGATGATGGACATTTGGGCTGGGTCCAACTCTTGGCTATTGTAAATAGTGCTGCAATGATGGGCCGGCCCGGTGGTGCACTGCTACAGTGCGCCACTTGGGAGTGCGATGGCGCTCCCGCCGAGGGTTCAGATCCCACATACAGACCGGGTCCCACTCACTGGCTGAGCGAGGTGTGGGAGCAACACCGAGGGTTGCGATCCTGTTGCTGGTCCCAGTCCAGTACGGGCGCGACACTGAGGGTTGCGATCCGTTGCCGGACACGAAAAAAGACAAAAAGGGGGAAAAAAAAAATAGTGCTGCAATGAACATTGAGTACAGGTATACCTTTGACTTGATGATTTCCATTCCTCTGGGTATATTCCCAGCAGTGGAATAGCTGGGTCATATGGTAGATCTATCTGTAATTGCTTAAGGAAGCTCCATTTCATTTTCCATAAAGGCTGCACCATTTTGCAGTCCCACCAACAGTGTATGAGAGTTCCCTTTTCTCTGCAACCTCACCAGCATTTGTCATTCACAGTCTTTTGGATATTAGCCATCCTGACTGGTGTGAGATGGTATCTCAGTGATTTGCATTTCCTGAATGCTGAGTGATGTTCATGTGTCTGTTGGCCATTCATATATCTTCCTTTGCAAAATGCCTATTAGCTCCTTTGCCCATTTTTTAATTGCATTACTTCTTTTTGCCATAAAGATGTTTCAGTTCTTTGTATATTCTGGATATTAATCCTTTGTCAGATGTATATTTTGGAAACATTTTCTCCCATTTTGTTAATTTTAAAATAAATTTACTTTCTTTTTTATCACACATCACAAACTATGAATTCTTACCTGTCCTCTCTCCCTTATTTTCATGTTAAAGCCTCTTCTGAACAATATTTAATATAAATACTAAGTGCATGACTGATAATAATATTTTTGTAACTCATATGAATGAGAACTTAGGTCTGATCAACCTATTCCCCCAAATATTAGATTTACTAGTATTAGATTTATCTGAGGAAAAATTTTTGATTATGTGGCAAATAGAGCAAAATTTTAATTGTCATATACTTCAAAACAAAAAAATCAAAAATGGTCATTGTAATTTGTATTATAACCTATGAAACAGATTTTATTAACCACATCATGGAAGTCCACAAGGTGGTGATATTCTTCTGTGCTTTTAAAATAAAATAAGGCAAAAAATAAGCTGAAAAGGAAAAAGTAGTTGAAGAGGACTGTAAGGTTGAGGATAAAGAAAAAATAGCCAAATTTCCAACTTAAATGCAGCTTAGTGATAGGAAAACTTCATAGAACATTATTCTGGGACTATATACTACAGATAGTCTATTGATTCAAAACACATAAACACACACACACATGCACACACACACAAACACACTCTAAATGAATGTAACTAAAATAAACTCATCATTATTGTTAAAAAAAAATTTATGGAATGATACCACTTTTTTTTCCTAATAGGTTTAGATACACAGGGGGAAAAAGAGTGCTGAAATCAGCAAGTTGTCTTCCCCCAATTTAGAGAAAAGTAGGAAGACATTTGCTAGAGAAACTGGCTCTGTTTTTCAGAAATTAAGCACTGTACCATTTGATGCTATGCATTCATTAGAATGGCAGTGAGATAGTGGCCATGGAAAATTCGATATCAGGAAAATAGTAGCCCTAGTTAGGTCAAGGTCAGGTCCAGACCTGAAGCCTCATCTCAACCTCTGGAAGTTCTGTAGTTAAATTATCCTTAAAGATATATCCCTAAGTATATTTGAAAGCTATGTGCTTACAAAGTTATTTTATATATTTAATGTTTAAGGTCTCAGGAGCTCTTCATTTCTCAAATATTTATGGCAACCATATACACTGTTTTATTCTCATATATGTGGATTTTCTAAAGACAGGCATTTTTTCCCAGCAGAAGCATCAGTGGACCTCTTAAAATATCTAAAGTATCAACAAAACATCTGTGTCCTAGTTTTAGAAATAAGTGTTATTGGGCCAGCCCCGTGACTCACTCGGGAGAGTGCGATGCTGGTATCGCCGAGGCCGCGGGTTCAGATCCTATATAGGGATGGCCGGTGTGCGTACTGGCTGAGTGTGGTGCAGACAACACCATGCCAAGGGTTGTGATCCCCTTACCAATCAGGAAGAAAAAAAAGAAAGAAAGAAAGAAGGAAGGAAGGAAGGAAGGAAGGAAGGAAGGAAGGAAGGAAGGAAGGAAGGAAGGAAATAATGTGTTATTGAAAGCACAATTATAAGTCAAAATATTAATTCAAGGACAGAAAACTATAGAATAAAGTTAAGCAAAAAGATAAATATCTAGTAATCATTGAGGGAAGGAACGTTTACAATGGTAGAAAAAAGAATCCATGGTGCTTCAGAAAAAAAGTGAAAGATATAAGGTCAGGGGAGGGAAATCAAAAATATAAATGCTAAGAGAAAGAGAAAGAAATTGTGGGACTTAAAATATTCTACTGGATATAGCAACTGGTTTACATTTGCCATAACAGCTTCAGTGGCATGATAAGAATAAAATTCTGATTTAAATATTAGAGAGTGAAGATAGTTGAGGAATGAAGACAATTATTATAGACTATTGCCAGTATTCGAGTTTCGGTGGAGGATTGATCTTCCAAATTTCTCACTCTCACCAGTGACAGAGAATGGTGCAGTGAGGAAGTTTGAGGCTTCAGGAGGCACAGCTGCCCACTCAGTGTATCCTGAAAGTGTCTTCCCTTGGCTTCATTGATGCTACAGTTTCTGGCCTTCTTATTTCTCCTGCCACTCCTTCATTGTCTTCTTTGCAGGCTCATCCTCCCTGAGGTTAAAATCCTCAAGACAGTGTTAGACCCATTCCCTCTTGTTTTATGTGCTTTCTAAATAATCTCATACATACACATAGGTTAAATTATCTTGACCATTTCTGGTACAATATAGGAAATCAATAAACATGAGTTAAGTTAGTGAAATAATGATGTATCCTCGTATTTGTACTAATCAGCTCTGTTACCTTTTAATATTTTTTTAGTACAAAGATTTTGAGAGTATCTGGATTCTTAATGTATATTTTTTATTGTAAGTAAATTGCTATTTAGGTTATTCCAATACTGCCGTGTGGATTATGAAATCTTTAGATATGGCTTTTTTGTTGTTGTTTCAATATGACATTATATCAATTAGTATTTTCAATTTTATCATAAATTAAAATAGTTTCAAATTTTTTGTCTAAAGTTTACATGTTCTTTTTTATATGCCAGGTGGTTGTGAGAGCTTTGATTAAAACAACTTTACCCACTTTGAATGTGTTTCTGGTGTGCCTTCTGATCTGGCTAATTTTTAGTATCCTGGGAGTACACTTATTTGCTGGTACATTCTATGAATGCATTGACCCAACAAGTGGAGAAAGGTTTCCTATATATGAAGTCATGAATAAGAGTCAGTGTGAAAGCCTTGTGTTTAATGAATCCATGCCATGGGAGAATGCAAAACTAAACTTTGATAATGTTGGAAATGGCTTCCTTGCACTGCTTCAAGTGGTAAGTACACTTTTGACTTTTTTTTATCAACTATGTGTCATCTGTATTGTAGGTTGAACGTGAAGGACAAATGCAGATTATTAATATATTTGGTTATAAAATATTTTTAGCAATCATTAATTAATAGATAAATGTTATGGGACATACTATACTGGAGTCATTCATAGAGACCAGAGTAAAATACAGCCCCTGCACTGTTGGGAGAATGAAGTGGAGATCCAGGTAGGACTGACAGAGGAAACGGCAGGTGCCAGTTTTTTATATATATATAAATAGGTTTTATTTTCACCATCACTGGTGAGATAATAGGGTCATAATTCATTGGTCCAATTTGGGTTACTGCTGTTTTTTGCTCTTTGGTTTTTTTCTATTTAGTGCATTGAGAAATGACTATTTAATGATCCAATATATAGCAGATGTGAAGGGGTGGACCATTCCTCTTTTATCTCCCCCACAGAAAAGCACATGTATGGCAGCTACAAGTTACTGTGACACTCGGTGGCATATATTTACTTACCATTTATCTGTCTATTTTCTTATTTCTCTCTCTATTTACACTGTCATAAAATATTTGGCTATTAGCTACCAATAAAGTAAGCATTTAAAATAGTTGGTAATGAGGCTGTCTGGTTAGCTCACTTGGTTAGAGCACGGTGCTGATAACACCAAGGTCAAAGGTTCAGATCACCATACTGGCAAGCCACCAAATAAATAATAAGTAAAACAGTTGTTAATAGACACTGCAATAATGAAAATGTTAAAGATCACACCTATACAGTACATTGAAGTGTGGTAAACCTTACTAGCAAATGTTTTAGTGTATTAAAAACAGATTGAGTTTTATTTTTTGCCATGAAGCAAAGTTTTCCATAAGAATTAAATATATCTCATTTTTTACAGGCAACATTTAATGGATGGATCACTATTATGAACTCAGCAGTTGATTCTATTAATGTAGGTACAATATAGTCTTAAAGCCATTGTTAAGGTCCAAGCAAAGTCATTTTGCAATTCAAGCACAGGACACCAGCAATAATTAACAGAAATTAAGTACATATTAGATTGGGTATTTCACGGACAATTAAATCCTTCCAGGAGTGTATACAATGATTGACCCAGTAAGCCCATTTGAAAGATTACCAGATTTGTAACAATGATTAAATCAATGAAATAAATTTTAAAATCCAAATAAACAAAGAAACAGTATTCTTTCATGAAAGAGCAAAGAGAAAACATACCTCAAGTAACATTGTTAGATTTTCTTATCACAAATTGTTTTACCCATTTGATGTTTTAAAAAGTCAGTATCAATATATTGCTTATTTTGCAAATTAACTTTTAGGTAAATGTGCAGCCTAATTTTGAAGACAACATCTATATGTATTGCTACTTTATCAACTTTATTATCTTTGGATTATTTCTCCCTCTGAGCATGCTGATTGGTGTTATTATTGCCAATTTCAACAAGCATAAAATAAAGATAAGTATAAATGCCCTGCTTCAAATATTTGGTTTTGGATTTTTTAATGTCATTTTTATTTGATAAGTATCTAAAAAAAAAAAAGATTGATGTTCCTGCACATAGATGAACATTGCTAAGATGTTCATCCTTATGTTGTTTTCTATATTTGCCTATATATACAATTTTATTTATTTATTTATTTTTATTTTTTCTCAATGTTTCTCATGTTTTATATTTTATTTTTATTTTTATTTTTTTATTTTAACTTCTCAATATACATTGCAGTTGATTTTCTTGTTCCTTTACCTGTTCCTCTTTTCCCGCTCCCTGTCTCTGCTCCCCCCCCCAACTACATCATATCTGTTCACTTGTCTTAACAACTTCAAGGAGTTGTTGTGATTGTTGTGTCTCCTCCCCACCCACACACACCCTTTATTTGTTTGTTTATTTATTTATTTATTTATTTTTAGCTCCCACAAATAAGTGAGAGTATGTGGTATTTCTCTTTCTGTGCCTTACTTGTTTCATTTAATATAATTTTCAATAAGTCCATCCAGGTTGTTGTGAATGGTAGTATTTCATTCTTTTTTATAGCAGAGTAACATTCCATTGTGTAAATATACCATAGTTTCCTTATCCACTCATCTGATGATGGACATTTGGGCTGGGTCCAACTCTTGGCTACTGTAAATAGCACTGCAATAAACGTGGGAGTGCAGGTATCCCTTTGGCATGATGATTTCAATTCCTCTGGGTATATTCCCAGCAGTGGAATAGCTGGGTCATATGGTAGATCTATCTGTAATTGTTTAAGGAACCTCCATACCATTTTCCATAAAGGCTGCACTGGAACTCTGATACATACACATTTTAAAAGTTAAAATTTAAAAGTGTTTTTGTATATATGCTTTGTAAATAATAATGTGCTGAAAAACAAATGTTGTAATGTTGTGTAATGTTGTGTATCTGCACAAATATGTGAAGAGTTCAAGAAAAAAAATTCTTTACTAGGAATTTCAACCCAATAGGATAGCATCCTAGGATTTCTTTCTAGGTTTCTAGTTTGTGATCTCTGTCAATTTTACATAACCAGGTCCTCATTTAAGGCAGTATCAGTTCCTAATTCCTAGATTAGCATGACATTATTCACATCAAATATTTTGTGTAAGATACTGAAGTTAGCACTAGAAACACAAAAATGAATAATGCCTAGAAGGTGTTATGAAGAAGTAGGGACAGGATACTTTTGGAATAATAGTAAAAAATATCATCTGATAGTATTTGGAAAATAAAGTAATATATGAACATATAAAAATACATATATTACCAATTCTATTTATTCTGATTGTTAAAAGGTACAAATCAACTTCACCTTTAGCTATTGAGTTCAACCTTTCTTAGTAAACCTTTCTAGATAACTCCTGCTGTTTCTCTTTTGCCCCTCAGTAATCTGAAAAGTGCAAATAGGGTTAATTGCCCGCAGGAAATTGCACCAAAAGATTACTGAATATCAGTCACTACCAGCGTGTATTTTATATGTGTTTTATATGGACTTTTGTGCAAAAAGTCAGACATGTTCAAATGTGGTTTACTTCGTTACAGTTAGGCCTATTTTAAAGGATTAAATCAATAATTGCCAAATTTTCTAAGATGCATATTAATATAAATTAAAACTTTGATTAAATGTGATTTGAAGTTTTTTTTCATTTCTTTACCAGGGAGGCTCAAATATCTTTATAACAGTAAAACAGAAGAAACAATATCGTTGGCTGAAGAAGCTGATGTGTGAGGGTTCTGAAAGACCAATACCTCGCCCAGGAGTAAGAAAATGTCTAGATTTTTTTGAAGCTTCAAAAAAAGCTTATTTAAATATTTGCTTTTAAAGATGAAAGTATGCTTTTAAAAGCCTTAACAAATGCTTTGCACAAAATTTATAAAATGTGTTCATTGATAAAGGTTTTAGTGACATTTTGTCTGTTTGTTTTGACTATATGCTATAGTTATAGTTGGGTAAAAACTTAGACCCTCACTTATTCTCCAGTTTATTCTGGAAGAGAAGTTGTAGAATCTTAAGACTGTGTGTGTGTATATACATATATATATATATATATCCTATTAATAAAACCATTACACTTGTTTTCTTTATCCACAGAACAAGTTCCAAGGGTTTATTTTTGGCTTGGTAACAAATCAAGTTTTTAATCTTGTCATTGTGGTTCTTATCTGTTTCCAAGTAATAACTATTATGATACAAAGTGATGAACAGAGTCCACAAATGGAAACTGCTCTCTACTGGGTTAATTCAATTTTTGTTATACTGTATACTACTGAATGTGTAATGAAGCTCGTCTCTTTCCGTTGTTACTATTTCACTGTTGGATGGAACATTTTTGATTTTATGGTGGTCATTTTCTCTATTACAGGTAAGATTTTACTTGGTCAAATTTTCATTTGTAATAGTATTAATTCAGACAATCTCTTATAGTAAGTGTCTTTTGAGATATAATCACTTAACAAGCAAAGAAGATAGAGATCTTTTTTATTCCCAACAGGCATGCCTAACATTTTTGCATTCATATATGTACACACTGCCTGACAAATATACAATAGTCAAAAATATTTCTTGAACTAATAGCATGAAGTTTATGTCACAAATCACCAGGTAAATGCTTAGTTACCCCTTTAGTATATTATGTACATTAGTTTTCTAAGATGACACTAGAAGGATCTTTATAACTTAGAATGATATGACCTTTTGAGCTCCCTATTATTCCTCACCCTCTAGTATCTAAAACAAATTACAATTTTTCCAACACTAGGCTTTTAGACTTTAATCAATTTGTCACTAGTTTTCTCTTACTTTGAATATATAACTCTCTTACTTAACAAGTAGACTCAATTATCCTCTTTGTTAAAGTATATTGTGCTATATACAAAGAATTTAGTAGTAAACAGGATAGGCATAATTCCTGTATATGCATAGTTTATAGTCTATTAAAGGATACAGTCAATCACACAGCACATTCTAATGCTGTGACATTAAGGTTATGGTAGGAGAAGCACAGAGTGCTGTCACAGCATAACAGAGGGAGGGACACCTGATCAGTAAGTAGAGATCAGAGAAAACTTACGGAAGAAGCAACATCTAAAGAGAGACCTATTGGGGTAGCCAAGTAAAGAATTTAGGATAAAAGTGTTTCAGACAGAGAGAAGTTTATTATCTGCCTCCCCATAACACATACCAAAGTGTAAGCTCCATGAGAGCAGGAACAATATATTGTGTCAAGCACTATTCTGTGTATTTAGTGGTGGAAAATGAAGATAAACTGTCTGCCCAGTTGTGCTTCCAGTAAATTCTCTCATTTAGTTGATGGTTAAAGCAATGCAACTGAAAGAAAAATACAAGAAGCCTGATAGAAACATACATGAAGACAGGAGGGGGCTGATAGGAAGAAAAGAGAGGAATTATAGAATTAAAAAGCCCTTTGAGAATTAAGTGGGAGTTATTTCATCAGAGAGCTGGAAGGAAAAGAAACTGCAGTGCGAGGGAAAGCATTTGAACTTGAGGTTTCAGAAGGTCAGCTATCCTGGGTCCAGAATGTGGTCGTAGATGTGGATGACCGAAGTAAAATGATGGAGAAGTTTACTAGAGTTGAGGAAGCCAAAGACTGAGAGGCTGGCCTTTCAGTGGATTGTTGATGGTCGGTGCTGAGGTGGAAAGGGGACAAGGGAGTGAATTACTAAAGTCTCGAATATACGTGAGGAGCTATGAGTAGATCACAGAGCCAAAGAATGGTAGGAAATTATATACTTGAATGTCAGGATCCACAAAGCATCAGAAATTTCTTTTATTTTTTCTTTATAAAAATGATAAAGAAGTGTCTGGAAATCACACTGAAAGGAAAAATATTTATTCCATCTTTCTATCCTGAGGAATATAGAGTAGGGAGAAATGAGCAGCCTACATTTGAGAGGGTTTCAAAGGAAATATCCCTAAAATAGTCAAATTTTAGGAAAGAGAGGAAGTTAAAAAAGGTTAGTTGATGAGGATATAGAGAAATTCATTTACAATTAAATGGGGATGGTTTCTGTGTAATGGAAGAGTTTAGAAGATTGAGAAATAAGAATTTGGAAATAAGATTGAGGAGAAATAAGAATTTGGGTCAGAGTGGAAGATGCATTAAAGCAGTGTGGAGATAAGGGTATAGATAGGCTAGGACATCAGAGAGAATGTCATGTTAGGCAGTGACAAAGTTTAACAGAAATGTGAGGCATGATCCTTCCAGATTCAGAAAACATGCTGTCTCATTTAGAAGCTTCATGAGATTCTCCCCTACACCATCTTCTCAACTCAAAATGAGCCACACTCTGTCCAGTACTTCCAGAGAATATCCCTTATGCCTGTTATGATAACCACAATTTTACCTTGTTTCATAGTTCCATACTTTCCTCACCCACCCACCACCACTATGAAAAAGTTTTAAGCAAAGATTAATTTATTCAATTTACATTTAAAGCCCCTGAGACCCAAATACTATTTATGAAATAAATTAAACTACAGTCTATGAATAACTGAATGCCAGAGATTTTGTAATTATAGCTATCAATTAGGTTTTTCTGCCTTGCCTTATAATTAAGTGTCTATTACGAGTTTCTAGATTAAAAGGTCTTTGAGGACAGAAATCACGTCATTCATCTTTGCATATTTGCAGGACAACTTTATTAGGCAATCAGTAAGGGTTGCATTGAGCTAAATTTCATGATCTAACAGCAATCAGAAAAAATTATGACTACTTCCCCACATTATGGATTCAGGTCGCTTGTGAATCCATATTCTTAAGATGATGGTACAAAAGATTTCTATTCCAAATTTTACTAGATACCCTGAGCTTTGACACAATATTTAGCTAACCCAAACTTTCAATTTGCTAACTGTTAAATGAAAGGGATTAGTAAAATGAGAGGGATTAATGAAGGATTAATAAAATATAGAAAAAACAATTAAATGTAAAATAATTTATGTTCCTCTAAATACAAATGTATGGAGTAATTTTATTGTCTGCTGTTTCTTTTCCCACACCAAGGACTGTTGCTGCCTATGACAATAGGATACTATCTTGTGCCTCCTTTACTTGTGCAACTGATACTTCTCACACGGATAATCCACATCCTGCGTCTTGGGAAAGGTCCAAAGGTGTTCCATAATCTGATGCTTCCTTTGATGCTGTCCCTCCCAGCATTGTTGAACATCAGTCTTCTCATCTTCCTGGTCATGTTCATCTACGCCATCTTTGGAATGTATAACTTTGCCTATGTTAAAAAGGAAGCTGGAATTAATGATGTGTCCAACTTTGAAACCTTTGGCAGCAGTATGATCTGCCTTTTCCAAGTTACAACATTTGCTGGTTGGGACGGCATGCTCAATGCAATTTTCAATAGTAAATGGTCTGACTGTGATCCTGATAAAATTAACCCTGGAACTCAGGTTAGAGGAGATTGTGGTAACCCCTCTGTTGGGATTTTTTACTTTGTCAGTTACATCCTCATATCATGGCTGATCATTGTAAATATGTATATTGTTGTTGTCATGGAGTTCTTAAATATTTCTTCTAAGAAAAAAGCCAAGACCTTGAGTGAAGACGATTTTAGGAAATTCTTTCAGGTGTGGACGACATTTGATCCTGACAGGACTCAGTACATAGACTCAAGCAAGCTTTCAGATTTTGCAGCTGCTCTTGATCCTCCTCTTTTCATGGCAAAACCAAACAAGGGCCAGCTCCTTGCTTTGGATCTTCCCATGGCTGTTGGGGACAGAATTCATTGTCTTGACATCTTACTTGCTTTCACAAAGAGAGTTATGGGTAAAGATGTGAGGATGGAGAAAGTCCTTTCAGAGATAGAATCAGGGTTTACGTTAGCCAACCCTTTCAAGATCACATATGAGCCGATTACAACTACTCTGAAACGCAAACAAGAGGCGGTTTCAGCAACCATCATTCAGCGTGCTTATAAAAGTTACCGCTTAAGGCAAAATGACAAAAATACATCAGATATTAACATGATAGGTGGTGAAAGAGATGTTCAAACTACTAAAGAACATGTCTATTTTGACAAAGCTAAGGAAATGTCAACTATGCAGGGCCAGATCTAATTCCACTTACCACCTTTTACCTTCTTTATATCCCAAACTAGTTAAAAGTTTAAATCAGAAATAAAAGATCAGAGAAAGTACAGATTATGATCAATTGTTTACAAGCCATGGAAGTTAAGCTTGTATTTACAAGACTCCTTGCCAGATTCACTTTTTACCCCTGTATGTTCAGTCTAACCAATTTATCAGGAAAAACAACCCCGTAATATTGCTGTAGTGAGTTAAAGTGGGTTAAATTTGCCATTTGACAATCCAGGGTTTGTTTTCTCTAAATGGCTTATATGGTGTGTGCCTCTCCTGGAGGATGGGGGGAGGGGAGATGGTGGTAGAGATTAGCAGCTAAAAGGGCTTCCTTGTGTATTGTTTGTCTAATTTGATGGGCTTCAAGTCACCACTATTGGGACTTAGTTACAAATAAACCAGTGCTTTCTTAATGTGGTATAGTGTTTAAAAAATAGTAAAATGCTACAGACCATTAAATCACAAACTTGCCTAGACAAGTGCCAATTGGGGGAGGGGAGAGGGAAGTTCTTTAGAAAGTGCCTTTGAGATCAATCACAGACACTTTCAGGCTCATTAAAAACACACATTTGAACAAGATTGGTTGAAGCCCGGTTTTTGTTTTTGTCTGTTCTTTTTTTTGGCACTGGAAATTAATGTCACATTGCTCTTGGACTCCCGGTTTCTCATCTCTTTAACTAGTTCTACCTAAGCTCCAGCTCTTCAGCAGGATGGATTTGTAGAACAAGAAGCATAAAGGAAACTAGAGTTATTGCCTATATTTCCCTCATTTTCTTCCTATTTACACATTTCTAAAAAGTATTTATTACATTTACTAAAATGACATAACAGATAATATGTTAATAGACTGAAGCTTTACCCTATCATAAAACTAATGTATCTCCACCATTTATCTGTTATGTAACATTGAGTGTGTAAGATCTGGCAAATGCATGTCATAATATAAATTAGAAGAGTGGAGAGCAACCATTATGTCTAGAGATGCTCACTGTGTCTTGACCTTTAATTGGGAAACTGTGGCTACTTTAAAGTACTTTTCACTGTATTTTAGGCTTCTTTATAACCTAGAGAAAAAAAATGATCATTCAAACTATGAGGACTGTGAATTTGGAGATAAAAGTGTAAGTTTGTTGTTGTTTTATAACATTAGTGTATGCAAGTTAGTTTTCACTTACTTATCTTTCCAAGATTTTTTGTTTTCATCTCATCATACACATAATTACTTTGTAAAATGTCATATTTGAAAAATGTTAAAATCTTAAATATTAGTTTTCATTACTGAAATCATTTTTGAAAGATAGGCACAAATAATTGTTTTTCAAATGATTTATAAAGATGCAGTCCTTTACATCCATGTAGTTTGAGATTCTCTTTGTTCCATTTGTATGAAGATTTACTTCAGTGTGCCTATGAATTCCTAAAGAATTCAAAAAGATAATCTGTATACTGTTGACAAAAAATAAGCTTTAAATATGTTGTATGACATTCAATATTATTTACATACCAGTAATTGTATTTTATTATGAATGCACAGTCTTGAGCCTTAACTATTATAGTCTATTTCTGCTCCTAAGAAATTTAATAACATTACCAAGATGCCTTTGAGGGATCCCCTAAGTAAATGTAATTTTGGGGTTCTGGTTTTTTCTATGTGTTCCTTCCCATGCTCCTCCAGTTCTCCATCATGTGATGGGGACCAGGGAGGAAGCCGTGTTAACTTGGTGACATGGTGACAGCTGGTGCTTTATCTAAGCTTCTCAGTTTTCTATTTCTTGGGAATGCTTTAATGTATAAACTGCTTCACATATTTAAACTGAGTCATAACTTGCTTCTGTAAATTCCATAAAGACCACAAACTGATTTTAGTTTGAAAATCATAGCTTTTACTTATAAACTGTGTTTGCCAGTTACCTTCCAAAAACGCTATAAAGAATTATTTTTAACAAAAACATACAATGTATTCTACTTTTTAGATTCTATAGAAAATAATAAAAACAGCCTGTTAACCACACTAATCGTTGTTTGTTTGTTTAATTTGATAATGCAGATCGGCAGCTTTGTATAGCACAATTTTTTAAAATAAACCTTACATTAGGGCTTATTCATACAGGCTCAAAATTCAAAACTGACAACAACTTTACTTTCTTTAGATCATTTAATTTTATCAAATAAAAGTTAGCAAGTTTACCAGAGGCCCCTATACACTGACAAAATATAAAATGCTCTCCTATTAAAATCACAATTATAATTTTACTAGATATATCTGATAGATCTTGGATGTGGTCGGTGCCACCTGGGATGTGGCCAGCGCCATGTTGGATATGACCAGTGCCATCTTGGACACGGTTGCATCACCTTGGACATGACTGATGTCATCATGGATGTGACCAGCACCATACTGAGTACAAAATGGCCACCACTCTTTGCCCTACTTCCTGGTTTCCTTAAACAAAGAAACCCTCTACCTCATGGTTTCCTACACAAAGAAAACCTTCCACTTCTGCCTGGAGGTACCTCTCATCTTGACTATGTCACCTCTACCCACCACACCAGCACCCTCTCCCCCTCCCTGCCTGCATGTTTTGTGCCCACCAACCCGTATAAGTGTATGTACTCCCTTCAGCGGCTGCTGCCCCACCATTTTGAGTGCAGCCTGGGAGGTTTTTCTTCCTTTAATAAACTTTGAATGGTACCCGGAGTTTCGGCTCATTTTCTTTCATTTTGGTGCGGAAACCCGGGAAAGGTCTTGGCTGGACCTTTGGCCCACCCCGTCTCTTGGGTTGATTGGCTCCCAGACGTCCTTCCCGGACCTGCTGGACCAGGTGCCCCTGGGACTCTCTTGTTTTCGCCCTGCTGCTTCAGAACGACACATCCACCACCAGCCTCATTTGGGGTGAGTTAGGGGAGTCCCTCCAATCTATTCCTATGGGTTTTTCTCAATCCTCTGTCTATGACTATGGTCTCGCTTGAAAGACCAGGCGCCTGGCTGAGAAAACCCCTCTCCTGCCCTGGTTACAGGGGACGCTCTCATACCGGTGGCTGCCCTCCATCCGAGGGGACGCCTCTTGTTGTTCCCGCCCTCTTTACTGGGACTGCTCCTCTTTCTCACCCTCAGCATGGGATCCTCTCAGACTAAACCCTCCCGATCTACTCCTCTGGGGTGCCTCTTGGCTAATCTATGACCTCTTAGCCTATAAGGAGATATAAAACCCAAATGGCTCCTTTTTTATTGTAACCAAGACTGGCCTAGATATAAATTCAGTAACAGATCCCAAAGGCCAAAAAATGGCACCTTCAATCTGGCCACCCTAACAGATCTTGATAACTTCTGTCACAGAAGCGGCAAGGCAGGAGAGATTCCCTACATTCAGGCTTTCTTCTGTCTTCAATCTCGCCCCTCCCTCTGTCAGACCTGTACTACATCCTGAATCCTCCTTGCCCACACTTGGCCTCCCCCATCAGATGCCAACCCTCCCTTCGACCCCTCAGACCACTCCACACTCCGGCCCCCGCCACATGCCTCCAGCCCCTCCCCAGCCCCTTCACCTGCACCAACCCCTCCCCCTTCACCACCCTGCACCCATTCTTGGGATGCCCCCTCCACCCATCCGGCCCCTCCTGACCTGCCGGCCCCTTGTATCCCCTTCGTGAGGTTGCCGGTATGGAGGACATTGTTCACGTCCATATTCCCTTTTCTCTTTCTGACCTTTCCCAGATTGAAAAGCATCTCAGATCTTTCCAAACTGACCCTGATACTTATGTAAAGGAATTTAAATACCTCTCACAATCCTATGACCTCACCTGGCATGATATTTTCATGATCCTTACAACTACCCTTTTGCCTGAGGTTTGAGAGCAGGTCTGTGTGGCGGCACAACAACACGCAGATGCGTCACATGCTCAAAGCAATAGATTGCCCACAGGTGTGGAAGCCGTCCCCCATGTTGACCCCAGTTGGAATTATCAGAGTGGACATGGGGACTGTGACCTCTGAGATCAAATGGTCACCCATGTACATTCTGCTTAACAAAAATTTAGCCACAAATTGGTTAACTATGATAAATTGAGAGAAATTACCCAACAATCCACTGAGAACCCCAGCGAGTTCCTAACCCGTCTCTCAGAGGCACTACAAAAATAGACCCGCATAGATCCCTCTTCCCCGGCTGGGACGGCTCGCCTCCATTCCCATTTTATCACTCAGTCTGCCCCAGAAATTCAGGTTAGAGGAAAAAACTAAAAAAAAAACTAAAACTAGATAAAAACTAAAAAAACTCGAAGATGGCTCTGATTCCAGTCAGAGAGATCTACTTAATTGGGCTTTCAAAGTTGTTAACAATAGAGAGGAGGAGGAAAAGAAGGAGCGATACAAGAGAGATCAGGACAAATACCAGCTTGTGGCCAATGCCATCCAGGGACCCTCTACCCATAGGGCTCAAATAACAAAACCTCAAAATGCGCCACCTGGCAACTGTTTCAAGTGTGGCCAGCCAGGCCACTGGGCTCGAGCCTGTCCTAACCCTGGGTCCTCTCCCAGTCCTTGCCCACATTGCAAGCAGGAGGGTCATTGGGGGTTCAACTGCCCCACTCACCAGAGAGGGAGTGGGCCAATCCCCACCCCACCGGTAGGACTGTCCTTGCCTGAACTGCTTGGCTTTGCCCAGGAGGAGGACTGACGAGGCCCAAGGTTCAAGGCCCCCATGGAGATCACCACGTGTGAACCCAGGGTAAATCTCCTCATAGCAGGTAAGCTGATTTCTTTTATTATCAACACAGGGGACACTTACTCCACTCTTCCCAAATATTTGGGGCCCACCACTTCATCCTCTATCACTGTGGTGGGTGTTACATGATCCAAATACCACCCTCAAGTGACATCACCCCTCTCCTGCACCCTCCACCACACCCACCTTTCACATAAATTCCTGGTTATGCCCCAATGCCCTGCCCATTTATTGAGACATGACATTCTCTCAAAGTTCAGGGCAACTTTAACCTTATATGATCAAACACCTTCCTTGCTCTTGTTGGCCCTAGACGCCCCAGACCTGGACTCTATGGACTCCACCTTTCCCTTTTCCTCTAACCTGGTCAACCTGATTGTATGGGATACATCTTCCCCCTCCATCGCCACTCATCACTCCCCCATCCATGTTTTTTTAAAAGACCCTTCTCTTTTTCCTAGCATACCTCAAAACCCCATTGCTCTCAATCATCTCATAGGGTTAAAGCCCATCATACATAAACTCCTTTCCTCCAACCTTTTACAACCCACTCATTCACCATACAACACACCCATCCCCCAGTGAAGAAGTCCAATGGCTCATACCACTTGGTTCAGAACCTCCGAGCCATTAATGTAGCCATTTTACCCATAACCCCAGTCATTCCCAATCCCTACACTCTCCTATCCACCACTCCTACTATGACTCATTTCTTTTCAGTCCTTGACCTCAAAGATGCTTTCTTTTCTATTCCCCTTCCCCCCTTCTGCCAAGACTTGTTCGCCTTCACATGGACCAATCCTGACAAACATCGATCCCAACAACTCACCTGGATGATCCTGCCCCAAGGGTTTCAGGATAGCCCCCACTTCTTTGGCCAAGCCTTGGCTTGAGACTTATCTGAACTTCTGCCCACTTCTAGCACTGTACTACAATATGTAGATGACCTTCTCCTATGTAGACCCTCATATGAGGACTCACAGGCCCACACTATTGCTCTCCTTAATTTCCTGGCCTCCAGGGGATATCAAGTGTCTCCCAGCAAGGCCCAAATTTCCTCCCCTCAGTCACCTATTTGGGAGTCCACCTTATTCCCAGCACCAGAGAGATAACGGTAGTTCACAAGTATCTAATTTCTGAACTCCCTACCCACGCCACAAAGGGTAAAATCCTTTCCTTCTTGGGACTTGCAGGGTATCTTCACCTATGAATCCCTAACTTTGGCGTGCTAGCAAAGCCACTTTATGAGGCAGCCAAAGGGGATCTCGCCATTCCCTTAGATCCCACAAAGCCCATTCATTCTCCTTTCCAGCAATTAAAAGCTGCTCTCCTCACAGCCCCTGCTCTATCTCTCCCAAAACTGTCTCATATTTTTATGCTATATGTCACCGAGACACAAAGATTGGTGGTTGGGGTTTTGGGACAAGAGGCAGGAGATATTTTCTCCCTGGTTGCATGCCTCTCAAAACAGCTAGACACCACAGCCCAGGGATGGGCCCCTTGCTTACGGGCCTTGGCACCAGCCACCCTTCTAACACAAGAAAGCTCCAAATTAACCTTTGGACAACAAACAGTTATTTGTCCCCCCCCCCCATCCTCGAGACCTTGTCAGTCATAAGGCAATGTCAATTCTCTCTCCCTCCCATCTACAACTCATCCACCTTACTTTCATTGAAAATTCTGTTTTCCTTTAAACCTTGCCTTCCTTTGAACCCACCCATTCTCATCCCAAGGCATTCTCAACCCATAGAACACAATTGTATGGAGGCACTAGATTTTTTCCTCAACGCCTTCCCACACATTTCACCACACCCCATTACAGAGCCCCAACACACATGGTTCATAAATGGGAGTGTCACCTCTGCACCAGCCCCCCAGGCGGGATATGCCATAGTAAACTTAACACAAACCATCAAGGCTACTCCCCTTCCTCCTAACACCACCACCCAACAGGCAGAACTTATTGCCCTCACCTGCACTCTCACCCTGGCCAATGACAAATGAGTCAATATATACATGGATTCTAAATATGCCTACCACACCTTACATTCTTGTGCAGCTACATGGAAGGAGAGAGGATTCATGACCAACCAAGGAGGGCCCATAAAAAATGGACACCTCATCAGGACACTTCTTGAGGTTGCCCAGCTTCCAAAAGAGGTCAGAGTTATACACTGCAGGGGACACCAGACCTCCAATAGCTGCATAGCTCAGGGTAACAAACGAGCAGAACCTACTGCAAAACAGGCTGCTCAATCATCAGATCCCCCGCACTTCCCTCACCCAG